TATCATATGTAAATAAACACACATATCTATATATATAAAAGCCTAAGCGACCCAATGACCATTCAACCATTGGGCTATTCAACCGATAGCTACGACGTGCACTGAACACCAGGGGGCAGATGCTCAATACACAGGCATGAAAACATGGACAGACTGATGAATCTCAGAGAGAAAGGGATATAGGGGAGGGTGGGAAGAGATTAACCAAAGATCCTATATGCATACTATAAACCTTGTGGATAGATTTATGCACCAGTGGGGTCCTTCAGCCTGGCCTGCAGTGATTGGGCCAAATCCATGCACCAGGCCTCTGATATCCCCCGAGAAGTCCTGGATTGCGAGAGGGCACAGACCAGGTGAGGGACTCCACTGGTGCACAAATCCGCATACTGGGCCTCTGGTGAATATATAGATCTCTTTAACACAGTGTCTTCCAGACAGATAGTTTACTTTAAATACACTGTCCCCCCAAAGCATTTGATAGTAGCAAGTAGGGGAAGTTGTAGAGTAGATCTTTACCAGAGTCACCTTTGGTGAACATTTTAGGCAAAGGAGAAAACAATCAGTCCAAACTCATAACCCTCGCTAGATTTACAATTCAGGCAATCCTTGACAGCCAGTAAAGAGATTCTTACTCATTTCTGAAGAGTCGGCATGAAAGCAGAAATGTAACATATTGTGCTATGTGTATACAATTATATACCAAGGTTCTGCATTAGTTAACTGGGGAATCCATGTTTCCTAGCTCACTGGCTCCCTAGAGAGCTATAGCCCTTATTCTTTTCTACTGGCACAAAGTGCAGCTGTTAGACTCACATTAGCAGAGCTCAGAGTTGTATCAACTCCTCGGGTAAGGGTCTAGGGAATTCCTCAAGGGCAAACACCTAGTCCTTTCATGTTTGGCACGGCAAGAACTCAGTAAAAACCGAGTAACTAGTAGAAACATTGCCAGGGGGTCATTCAGATTTCCCATCCTTGGGACTCCAAAGATAGTCCTGCCCCATACCACATAAAATGACTTTTCTCGTAAATTTTATATACTATCTATACTGATAAAAGGGCAATATGCTAATTAGACCGGGAGACCTTCTGGACATCATTCTGGACAAGGCCATGGTGGTGGGGATGAGACAGAGGCAGTTAGGGGCAATCAGGCCAGGAAGGGAGGGCAGTTGGGGGCAAGCAGGCTGGCCAGGGGAGTGGGGCCTCATTGGGGGTGGGAGGCCAGCAGGCAGAGTGGTTAGGAGCAATCAGGCATGCAGGCAGGTGAGCAGTTAAGAGCCAGCAGTACTGGATTGTGAGAGGGATGTCTGACTGCTGGTTTAAGCCTGATCCCTGTCGGGCCTAAATGGGCAGTTGGATATCCTCTGACGGGTCCCAGATTGGAGAGGGTGCAGGCTGGGCTGAGGGACACTGCCCCCCCTCACAAATTTTGTGCACCAGGCCACTAGTATTTCTATAAATAGCCTTGGTTGAAATATATATTTCTTAGAAATAATCTATCAAACAAACCAGTCGAAATTATTGAAGAAACAGCCATCTATTAGTCTTTAAGGACTAATTAAATAGGACATGTCTTTCTTCTTTTCTGCACTATTGGGTTTTTTAGATTCTTGGAACACTGATTAGATAATCTATAAGAAAAGAGAGATGAACTAAAAATTGTCAGGGTATGTAGAATTCAGTATCATCAAGTGGAAAATAATGATAGTACTGGTGACATTTTTTTCTGCCTAAAAGATAGTTGGTAATAACTAAAAAAAAGTAGCAACGAGGTCTAGAAAACATAGGGAGTTGGGGAGCCCTACATGGGCTGCCTAAATCCATATTTATAGGACCCGCTTCCTGGGCCCGATAGTCTATATACCTACTATCCTGGTTACCTATTTTCTCATTCTCATTTCCCAACAGACTCAAGCAACTAAAAATATTAATTACAGGATATAAATTCCCCTCACACCAACCCTTCTACTTTTGTCACCTACCATTTCCACAATTAGGCATTGTTTTAAGTTTGAAGTATTCATTTCATGTACTCCTTCCTATTAAATGACTCGTTTGGGATAAATAAATTTCACTTGGTGTTCAGCACCATGATAAAGCGTGGTCCCTTCTCTCACCGCGCCAGTACTGTAAAAGACAAACTACTTTTTTTCCTGAAGAAAAGAAATACCTTCTGGAAGTACTGTGACAAGTCCATATAATATACACACCAGAAACCAACCTAATAATTTTAACCAGGAATTAAATCACTCTGTCCTGCCCTAAACAACTACCTTCTGCCCTTCACAAGCATGGCTAAGGTAAAATGAGTACCAAACATCTGAATCAATTCTACACAGTTCTCCAAACTTTGTTTTATTTGATCCTTTCAACAGAGGAAGCAAGGCAAGCTCTAGTGCTCCGAGTTTCCAGATGGGGAAAGGTAGGCTGAAAGAAGTAAAGGGACTTACACAGTATTCAGTTATTAAGCTGTCTTCTGATTCCCGTTCTGACACTTTATCTGCAGCCCCAATGAGTTCTCAAATGGAGAGAAATAATCAGCCTTCCACTTGGCATGTCTAAACACTATAGTCCCCATCCAAGGAGACCCATTTACTCTGCCTGAACTCTATTTCTGTCTGCATGGTGTTCTTATAGTTGATCTTGACCCATTGTCACTGCTGGATGATGCAACACGGACCACATCTACCTGTTTTGCAGATAACAGTATTCAAGATGATTCAAGCAGAAAATGACAATAAACTCCTGTTAACAATAATTTTTATATTGGTAATTATTCAGTTTTGACATACAGACCAGCGGTTGCCAACCAGTGGTGGTCCATGAGGTCAGAAAGGTTGGGGACCGCTGATATGGACCGCATCCACCCCAGCTATAAGGTGGCCATGAGGATTAACAGTCCTGCTCATACAAAGAAGGTAGTTACCTATAAAGGAGCACCTATACGATTGTCAGCTGACTTCTCAACAGAAACCATGCAGGCCAGAAGGGAATGGCAAGAAATATTCAAGGTGATGAATAGTAAGAACCTACAGCCAAAGATAATCTATCCAGCAAAGCTATCATTCAGAATTGAAGGTCAGATAAAGAGCTTCACTAATAAAAAAAAAGCTAAAGGAGTTCATCAACACCAAACCAGAATTATATGAATTGCTGAAGAGGGTTCTTTCAGAAGAGAAAGTAAACAAAGATAAAAATTATGAACAACAAATACGTAACTATCAACAAGTGAATCTAAAAACCAAGGAAATTAAAAAAAAATCTGATGAACAATAGTAACTGTTGAATATAATAGAATCAGAGGTATGGAAGGGGAGTGAACTGACGATTCTTAGGGAAAAGGGGAGAGGGGGGCGTGGGAAGAGACTGAACATAAACTGTGCACCTATAGATGAGGACAATGGGGAGTGGGGAAAGGGCAGAGGGTGGGGTGGGAACCTGGTGGAGGAGAGCAATGGTGGGGGGAAAAAAAGGAACATTTGTAATAATATGAACAATAAAAACTTATTTAAAAAAAAAACAAAAACAGTCCTGCTCATAAAAGGTGAGGCTAGTTTTTTATTTTGTTTTTGCCAAACAACATCATAAACTCTTCTAATACTCAAAAGAAGGGCCTGGCCGGTGTGCCCGAGTGGCTGAGCAGGGACATATGAACCAGGTCATGGTTCAATTCCAGGTCAGAGCACATGCTGGGATGATGGGGAGTGCAGAAGGCAGCTGGTCAATATTTCTCTCTCATCGATGATTCTCTCGCTCCCTTTCTCTCCGCAACCAATAAAAACATATTTTATTTTATTTTTTTATTTTATTTTATTTTTTTAAATATATTTTATTGATTTTTCAGAGAGGAAGAGAGAGGGATAGAGAGTTAGAAACATCGATGAGAGAGAATCATCAATCAGCTGCCTCTTGCACGCCCCCTACTGGGGATGTGCCCGCAACCAAGGTACATGCCCTTGACCGGAATCGAACCTGGGACCTTTAAATCCGCAGGCCTACGCTCTCTCCACTGAGCTAAACCGGTCCCAACATATATATATATTTTTTAAAGGAATCTGATAAGAGCCCTGGCCACTTGGTTGGAGAGTCATCCCATATACCAAAAGGCTGTGGGTTCAATTTCCAGTCAGGGCACATATGTAGGTTGTGGGTTCTATCCCCAGTCAGGATGTGTGCAGAAGGCAACCAACTGATGTTTCTCTTTCCCTTCCTCTCTCTAAAATCAATAAACATATCTACACATCCTTGCATAAGTATTACAAAAAGGAATCTGGCAAGAACTAATAAAGAACAGACTGACAGCTGTCAAGAAGGGGGTTTACAGGGCTGAGTGAAAAAGGTGAAAGGATTAAGTTGCAAAACACCCCACAAAAAACACGCACACACAAAACCGAGACTCACAAGCACAGACAACAGTATGGTGATTACTGGAAAGAAAGAGGGTACAGGGGAGGTAGAAGGGGACATAAATGATGATGGAAGGAGACTTGCCTTGGGATGGTGAATATAAAATATAATATACAGATAATGTTCTACAGAATTGTACCCACACGGTATCTATATAATTTTATTAACCAACTAGAGGACCAATGCGCAGGTAGGGTTCCAAGCAGCTGCCAACTTGGGGCCTTCCTTTGTTCCACACCGCCCCCCTGGTGGTCAGCACATGTTACAGCGAGCGATTGAACTCCTGGTCATTCGAACTGCAGAGGGGATACTTTGCAATATCAGGCTTTTATATATATAAATGTCACCCCAACAAATTCAATAAAAGAGAGCCAGCCCAAGATTATTCAAGACACTCTCATAACTTTTCCCAATGTTTTATTCCAGCTTCAATCACAGTACCAAGACTTTCATGCATTCAAAAAAACAACCATAAAACAATGGTTTTTCTAGCCAACCTTGTCCCCACATGCTCCTTCTTCCTGATTTCCAAATGTAGTCTTTAACATTTGTAAATATGTCAAGCAATTGTTTCAACAAGCAAATCTTACCTAGTGGCGGTGAAGAAATAATTATCTGGTGGTCTTTATGATCGCTGTCCACCTGCAAGGCTTCTCTGGAAAGTCTAGCATTGGTTCAAAGAGAAGAAAAGTAAAAAAAAAAAAAAAATCAAAGCATTGTCATAAAAAAAGAAGCCTTGAAATCCACCACCCACAATTTAAAAGTTTAAAGTTTGAATCAACTGACTTACTGCATAATGTCACACAATCCCACCCAGTGTGTTAAAATAAACTAGTTCTGGATGAGGTGAAATGGATTCTTATCATTCGGAGCATCCCCTCTTTAAGGGCCATTAAGTCTCCCATTAAGGGCCTTTCCATTGTATGACAAAGGGTGAAGGTTAAAGGGATTATATGACTCAACTTTATTTCTCCCATTGCTTTTACCTTTAAAATTAAAATTGCCCTACTGAAGATACATTGGCAAAAGAACAGATATTGTGTAAGTACATTTGTCCATTTATGTAAGTGTTTAAATAACATTATACAAAGCACCCAGAAAGGTCTTATCCAGTGAAACAAAATTACACTCTTAGAACTACTTATTTTACGACTACATTACATTATAACGTATGGTTAGGATACTAAATTCCGGCCTCCGATTCTATTTATTAGAGACTAAAAAAAATGATCAGCTCATATACAAGGCAAATTTAAACCAAGGATCTTTATTCATCGTTTCAAACTTTCAAACACAGATCGGCATCTTTATTCACAGTCAAGATGAAATTATCCGCTGTCTCCTGATTAAAAGTTGGTCAAATGTATAGACAACAACGACAGCTATGGAAAACAACTATTTTCTAATCCAGGGAGGGCTGAAGCTCAAAAAATCCCAAGAATAAAAGCTAAGTGTATTTCCCATACATATAATGAGGGGTGACGTGGCAGGGTAGAACTCATGAGCTCTCGGGTTTACTAAAACTTTCTAGTATTTCTGATCAGCATCCTTTCCCCGGACATCTGGCTGCTTCGCGCAGGTCCTGTTAATTACTTCCACGTCGGAACGGGGACTGCGCAGCTACAAGTAAAGGCCAAACTTTGCTCCCGGCCCTGGGAACTTAGAGATGCGCTTAACCACTAGAGGTCTCCCCTTGGCCAGTTTTGCTCGCTCGCTATTTTGCTGCACTTGAAACTTTCCGGAGAAATGCTCCTCTATACGAGTCAGTGTTTTTCTAAAAAAAAAAAAAAAAAAAAAACTTGCGCAAAAAAAATCTTCGCGATCGAGCTCGCCAGCACGGAGACTCCCGGGCTCCCCAACACCGATCACGACGTTACAGACAATGAATGCCCTGGGAAAACCAACATTCAAATTCGACGCGCTCGCCCCCCCCGCCCCCCCCCCCCGTCTCCTCGAACCCCCAATTCTTATTTCTCATGTTTCCCTTCACTTACAACTTAGAACAATTAAAAAAAAAATCTATGTTTGTTTCTGTGCACTTTGAATGATCTCTAATGCATTTTTTTCTGGTGAAGGCTCGGCCCAGGGATGCAGGGAGGGGGGGAAGGGCCGAGCGATCAGCGCCCGAGGAAGTTGCATAAGGAAAGAGACTCCGTTTTTTGGGTCCCCCTCAAAAAAAAAAAAAAAAAAAAAATTTTTTTTTTCTTAAATCGGCGGGGAGGGGAGGAAAAGGAAGCGGTGGGGAGAGAGGGAGGGGGGGCAGGGAGGGAAACCGAAGCGACGCTCACCTCCCCGTCTCCCCGCTGGAAGGGTGGGGTACGACCCAGGTCGGCGCGACCCCGGAGGGCGGCTCGGTCCCCCCAGGTCTCCCCGAGCGCACACGGACCCGCCGATCCCCCGCCCCGGGCCTCCGCGGGGAGCGAACCGCCCGCTCTCAAACTTTCTCTCACGGTCGCGCTAAGGGCGTGCTTGGGCCAGAAAGGGTGGAGGTTGGTGGGGGGGGGGGGGATTATAAGGCCTTTTTTTCCCTTATTTAAGGTGATTAAAGTTTTTGCCACCGGCACAAAAGTTGCGCGCCCTCCCCGCTTCCCCTCCACCCCCACCCCCCCCCGCCTGTGCCCGTGCCACCGTGCTCTGCCACCCCGCCGCTAGGACTCCCCGAGTTTTCCCCGCGCCCCCCTCGCCAGCTCACAGGGCGCGCGGCGGATGCCCCGGCTCCTGCGCTTCCCGATCCCCACCCCCACCCCCGGCCTCTACCTCCCCCTCACCCCCCCGCCGGCCAATTACCCCCCCCCCCCCGCCCCGGCCGCCCGCCGCGCGCGAGGACAGCCCGCGGGGCCCGGGACGCGAGTGTGCGAAGCCCATTATCCCGGAAAGGCACCGCGCGCCGCGGCGCAGGGCGGGCGGCGGCCCCGCCTCGGACCCCGCTTCGCCTCCCCGGGAGGAGGGCGGCGTAAACAAGTTGCAGGAAAGGCAGCCCAGCGCCGGCCCCGTACCGCCCGCGGCCGCCGCCACCGCTGCTGCCGCCGCCGCAGCCGCCGCCCTCCCCCCGACGCCCGCCCGCCCGCCCGCCCGCACCCGGCCCGGCGCGGCAGCGGCAGCGGCAGCGGCGCGGGGCCATACGATCGCCGCGACGGCGCGGGCTCCGGGGCTCCCGGCCCGGCCCGCACCCCCGCCCGCCCCCCGCGCGCGGGACGCCAGCGCCGGGCCCGCGCCGCCTCGCTCGCCCCAGCAGCACTTTCCTGCCTCGGGCAGAAATAAACCGGAGGAGGGTTTATTTTTGTGCAACTTTCCCAAAATGGCGGAAATTGGAGCCGATCTATAGGAAATTCTCACACAGTCTGGTCGGGAGCGGGGCGGGGAGGCTGGCGAGGAGGAAAAAACGCAAAAACTCTCGGCCGCCGGGAGCCCCGCCGCGGGTCCGCGGGCGAGTGTGTGCGCGCGTGTGAGTGCGTGTGCGCGGCGGGAGCGGGGAGGCCTGTGCGCCGCGCGCGCACACTCACACTCACACACAGACTCACACACACACACACATACACTCGCACACACTCACATACACGGCACCCGCCGGGCAGGCGCGCCCGCACATTCAACCAGTCCGCTCCCCGCGGCCCGGGCGCGGGGGGAGAGGGGCCGCCTCCGCGCCCGCTGCCTCGGTCTCCCCGACTTAGACTTCTCGCGCCGCCGCCCGGTCCGCTCCCCGGTGCGCGCCCGGCACAAAGGCCACACGGGCGGAGGGGGCCGCAGGGGCGGCGCGCGGGGATCGCGCCTGCCTCCCGCCGCACCGATCGGCCGCCCCGGCCGCCCCCGCGCCCCCCTCCCCGCCTCTCCCCTCCCTCCCTCGCCTCCCTCCGCGGCCCGCGCCCCCCGCCCCGGCGGCCCGCGCTCGCTGCCCGGGCTGCGGCTCCGCGGCGCCCACTCGGGCACGCACCCCAGCGGAGCCCGGCGCCGCCGCCGCCGCCGCGCTCCCCCCACCCACCCCGCGCCGGGTGTCATGAAAGCGACCCAAGTGACAAGCTCCGCGGTGGGGGTGGGGGTGGGGGGCGCAGGGGAGGGGGTCCCCACGCATCCCGCCGCCGCCGCCTGCGTCTCGCCCGGCGCGGCCGCCTCGCCCCGGCTCCCCTTCCGCACGGCCCCACACACCCTTCCCCGTGTGCGCGCAAAGGAGGAAAAAAAAAAAATACAAGTCTCTCCTCCCCCCATTTTTTTTTCCTTTCTCTTTTCTCTCTCTTTTGTTCCTCTTTCGCACTCGCACTCACTACTTCCAGAGTGAGATGCCCCGGAGACTGCCCCCCCCCGCGCCCCCCGCCAGCCGTCCTCCGCGCCACTTGCCCACTTTGCCCCCGGGATGAAGTTTTCTCCGCTTTCCCAGGGGCGCGGGGACGCGGGGGAGAAACCCCTTCTCTGCCCGTCCTCCTCTCCCTGCCCCGGCTCCGTTTCACAAGACGAGGGTGCGCTTCCTTCTCTCCCCGTAAGGTCGCTTAACTTTCATCCTCGCCCGGAAAAAAACAAACGGATGCCTTTGGCCCGGGCACACCTTCGAGATGAATGAGAGATTAAGATCCGATCGGCCGCTGCTTACCCCCAAAATTTCTCTCTCTCTCTCTTTTTTTTCTCTCTCGGTCTCACGAGTGTAGTCCTGACAAATGGTCCAGGGCTGCGGGCGCAGTGCGCATGTGCGCGTGGAGCCAGGGCCGGGGAGAGGGGAACTGCGCTGGTGCCGCCGCCGCCGCCGCCGCCCGGGCTCGCCCGCTTCCCTGTTCCTGCCGCTGCGCCCGCGCCGCTGCAAGCTGCACAGCCAATGCAGCCGCCCGCGGACACCGTTTCAGGTGCATCTCTTCCCGAGCCTGGGCGCCGGCTGGGAGCTGGTTCGAGAGCAGTCAACAACAACAAAAAACAAATAGGAGATCTCAGCTTGTCGATTTCTTTGTCTATTTCCCACTTTTACTTTTTTTTTCTTTCTTTTTTTCTTTTTTGCAAAAGGCAATTCTCCGAGCAGCGAATCCACCGCGTACTGTTACATGCAGGCGCTCAGCCATGAAAGGTAGGCCTTGGTCCTACCTAAACAACACTTCCCAAAAGGCTACCGGCATGCTACAGGTCATGAAAAAAAAAAAAAAAAAAAAGGAAATAAAGTTTTAAGTTTTTACGCAGTGGAAGCTCCCCCCCCCCTCCCATCCCCCCACTTCGGGACTGGAAGAATGCATAATGAAGTGCGCGCGTGTGAAATGCGTGTTCTTTCCGTTCCTGAAGGGTTGATCGCTACTGACAGCGTAAGGCTTCTGTTGTAAAACGGGCTGGGATCCAGGACATCAAGTCAAGAAATGAGTGTGGAAGTACCTTGGCAGGAAGCAGGTCGAGGACTACCTCTTCATGTATTCGGTCAAGATGGCTGAGCGGGTCCTAAAAAAGCAAAACCTGTCTTTGTTAAGGCGTCTAAACCAGATCAAGAGAGAGAGAGAGAGAGAGAGAGAGAGTGTTGTGTTTCGGTATTGACCAGCTTCCCCCTTATGGGCTATAGGCTTCCTTTTGGGCAGCTGATCATTCTCCTTCTTCACTAAGTATAAGTAGTTACAAAAATAATCCAAGTGATGGAAGTTGTGATAACCACTTTAATGTCAGTAATGGGGACTTCTGTAAGTAGCCGGTGTGATTTCAGGAATGGCGGGACCAACTCTTCTTAAATGTTGCAGGAGTAAGAAAGTCAGGCAAAGGCCCCACCCCCTTCGGAGCGGACTATTTATTTTGTATCTAATAAAGGGTAAAGGAGCCCTTTTCTGAAATTGCCGCCTGAGGCCTAGGATTTAAATGTATCACAGATGGAAATTCTGTATTAAAAATCCTTCTCCAAAATATAAGTCATATTACTATTCTTGATTGAATTTTTTTTTCCACTTAAGGAGTGTTCCTTGAACCAGTTTCAGAAAATAAACTGTTAAATTCTTTCCTTAGGACCATGAAATTACCTAGAGCAGCAGACCACCCAACTATTTCTTCTGTTGATGGAGTGACTGAATTCTCTGAATCAAAAATCAAGACATATAGCTTGACATGTACCGAAGAACAAAAGAACAAATGCTGTGAGGCTGAAATCAGTTTATATAATATGCTACTACGTTTGGAAACCACTGGTTTTTAGGGATGTCGAGTGGGGAAGGCTGGATTAGGGAGAGCCATAGGTAATCTCATACCGCCAGTTAACTCTTGCATTCACCCACCACATCCAACCTTCTTCAGAGCTGCCCTCAAACAGCATAATTAATCTAAATTTCAGCTTCTCCTCTTTTCTCCCTGACCCTTGACTAATAATAAGCACCGAAATGGCCAACAGCAGACTACAGGAGGAGGAAAGAAAGCCATTGCAAAACTAAGACCTTGCCCCAAAAGAAACAAAAATTAACTTTAAATTCCTCTTTCTAAAAATCCATTTCAGACTCATTCTCAGTAGATAATTTTTGGATGGTATGTCTATTTCACATATATTTTCAAAGATGTTGCTTTCACGGTCTGGGAACTTACATTAATGGCCTACCTTGTGCTAAGCACTCTGCAAGATGCTGGGGAATGAACAGAAGATGAAAACTAGGTCAGAAGGAATTTAGTCTGGGAAAAGAGACTGTCTAGTAAGCTGGGCCTTGCATCCTAGGAGTGTAAATGTTGTCCTAGGGCCGTGGTCGGCAAACTGCGGCTCGCGAGCCACATGCGGCTCTTTGGCCCCTTGAGTGTGGCTCTTCCACAAAAGACCATGGCCTGGGTGAGTCTATTTTGAAGAAGTGGCATTGGAAGAAGTTTAAGTTTAAAAAAATTTAGCTGTAGCCAAAACCGGTTTAGCTCAGTGGATAGAGCGTCAGCCCTTGGACTGAAGGGTCCCAGGTTCGATTCCGGTCAAGGGCATGTACCTTGGCTGCAGGCACATCCCTGGTAGGGGGTGTGCAAGAGGCAGCTGGTCGTTGTTCCTCTCACATCGACGTTTCTATCTCTCTATCCCTCTTCCTTCCTCTCTGTAAAAATTCAATTATATATATATATATATATATATATATATATATATATATATATATATATATATATTTTAATTTGGCTCTCAAAAGAAATTTCAATCCTTGTACTGTTGATATTTGGCTCTGTTGACTAATGAGTTTGCCGACCACTGTCCTAGGGGTAGTGCAGAACAAGTACAATTGAGGGACACCTATGGCAATTTCTAGAAGAAGTCATAGCTAAGCTGATTTGAAGGACAAATGTCCAGGGTATGTGGTTCCACCTTTCTTCTGGGAAGGTGACCCAATTAAAGAAAGTCCAAGGATTTGGAGAACAAGGCTTTGCCTCGGACCTGTGTACTTATTGAAATTCACTGACAAAAAAATGAGGATGAATTGAGGCTCTCTATAATACATTGTCTTTCTCCTCAAGAGATCATCAGTAAAAACCTCAAAGATTTCATCTCAGTGGTTCCCACGATATGGTTCAGCAGAGTAAATATTTTGAAGGTATTCATGTATAAGAATAATGACTTTAAAGCTGCTACCAATTTTTTTCTACAAAGAATTCTTTGGTGCCACCACCTGAGACAGGCAGAATGTAGCATCAAATTCAGATAACACTGGCATTGTTCATACGGACTGTCACTGTTCACAAGACCTTTCTTCCGTCGGTTCCCTAAATGGTTCCATACCAGCAGAAACTTCTTTGCTGTTCCTTCACCCTCCCACCGTTCACTCACTGGTTAGTAATTCATGATAAACCCCTTCTTTCTGGTATCAGTAGATCTCACCATTCTCCCCTCTTCTCATCCCACCTTGCTCCACCCTATCTCACTTACATACCAAATCCACCCCTCAGGCCAGGTCTGTAACTGCCTGGACATCCCAGGGAAGGTTCTAGCTCACTGCTTTCCTTTCTTTTGTGTTTGCGTATTTACAACCAAACTGTTCCCCTCAAAATGACATCAGGTTACATGGAGATGTTTGAGACAAATCGCTGCACTCAGTCTTCAGAGGCCCTTGGAGGTGTCTCACCACCTCCTGGATGAAGATTATTCGAAACCTCTCTCACAGAGTGCTCCCTCCTGAAACCCCCACTCTGCATGAACTTCCATTAAGAAACCGAAACTCCCTTTTCCTAACACTAGAAGCTGGTTCTGCATTCATTCAAGGATGGCCTCTTCCAGGAGCCAGCCCCTCACAAACTGGAAGTGCCCAGGAGTGGAGTCCAAGACATTTGTTTTCTAATCCAATTCTGCCACCACCCACTGGGAACATTAAGAAGGTCACCTCGCATTTCAGGGCTTCGGTTCTCTGGTGAATTAGGCTAAGGAAACAGGGTAATTGATTTCTGAGGTCTCTTTGAAACCCACGACTCTTCCCACCCTTCCTACAGAACGGACTCTATTACAATTTAGTACAAATAATATGGAATCAAGGAAGGAATTTTAAGTAAGGAGAGAAAATCCATCCATCTGCTAGGTACCAAAATGTTACCTGTTTATAGCTCATTCAGTTGGTTTAAACCTGGTACTAATGAGATGTAGGTCATGGGTTCCGTTCCCTAATGGCTAGTTAGTTCTGATCTCTTCCATAGCCGCAAGCTGCTCTCCTCACCCCAGTCCCCCATGCTGTAATATGTGCTAGTGGTCATATGTCTTCAGGTAAACTTGAATCTTTCCGTAGAATTTTCTAAGTGATTAATACTTGAAAGCGCCCTTGGAAAGGATACCTTACTTATAAGTATGAGTCAAGTTCTTGTGTTTTTTTTTCAGCCTGCATAATTGTGCACTCCATGGTTTTCCAAGTATAAAAATGACATTAACACTGGTTTGGCTAAGATTTATATAATGAATATGATAAGAACTGAGTTTGATTTCCTTTGTTAGTATTCTAGATAACACAGAAATGTTCATATAGGTACCCTCATTTGAATCCTGGTTATATTTCTGTGACACATCTGCATAAAATCTTAGCACAGAGCTTATGATAGTGAATGTAATTGAAATTCGGAGGGTGGAAGGAAAGGGGTGTATTATTCATCAGATAAGGAAAGGATTATGATGTGTACCACGTTGTCAACATCTTTAAGGAAATCTATATATATAAAAGCCTAATATGCTACGTGTCCGACCTACTGGTCGACCAGTAGCTATAATGTGCACTTACCACCAGGGGCAGACACTGTGCCTGGTAAGTTAGCTTGCTGCTGTGGTCCAGCTGATTGGGACTAGGCAAGACAGGCCAAACACGCCCTGGAGGCAACGTCCCTGGCCTCTAAAATATTTCTTTTAATTAATTTATTTTCAATGTGCACAAATTCATGCACTGGGCCTCTAGTTAATATATAAAGAGCTTCTGGGTAGATGTGAATATTTGTTATCATTTTGTTTAGGTGCAAAGGTAAAGATAGAAATATGACAGACATTTTCAAAAGAGTGGAATAACACCAGACCAAAAACAAACTCTTAAAAAAAAAAAAAGACAATTTATAATTTTCCATAAAAGACTTAATCATTCATTTTTTATAAATATATTTTTATTGATTTCAGAGAGGAAGAGAGAGAATAATAGATACATCAATGATGAGGGAAAAATCATTGATTGGCTGCCTCCTGCACGCCCCACTCTGGGGATCAAGCCCACAACCGAGGCATGTGCCCTGACTGGGAATCAAACCAGCAACATCCTGGTTCATAGGTCAATGATCAACCACTTAGCCATGCCAGCTGGGCAAGACTTATTCATTTAAAGCCTA